ACTGACTGACTGAGTTTAGTTTTACGCCGCTTTTAGCAATATTCCAGCAATACCACGGCGGGGGACACCAGATATGGGCTTCACACATTGTACCCATGTGGGGAATCGAACCCGGGTCTTCGGCATGACGAGCCAACGCTTTAACCACTAGGCCACCCCACCGTTCCTTGAGATGTGGGAAACGAAATGTGGTAATACAATTAACAGAATTATGAGCTCCCAAGGAAGAGTCTAAAAATAAATAATAATGTCCTTAGTGCAGAACACTCGTTATGAATGCATGTCTGCAAGATATTACTCTTGAGGGTTGCATGAGCATCACATCAAACAACCAATTACAAGATTAATTCGTTTGGGGCTAGCAGTTAAAAGCCCATTCAGGCTCTCTATTATATGAGGTAAATACTATTAAAAAATCAAAACGCATAAAGTGAAAGTGAATGTGTACTACTTTTCAACATTATAACAAAATGGTAACTGTGACCATTCTTAAGCTTATCCCCTCGAGTAACCAGTTTGTAAAACTATTAGGGCTGTAAGGACACATCCCTATCGATGGCTTGCAGTTGTTGAGTCTCCGAAAGCAATTAATCGATGGTAGAAACGAAAAACCATCTATGCATTGATAGTATGTATGACTATCCATAATTTAGTAATTGACTTTATTTTTATTAAATATTTATGTTATTTTGTAATTTTTTATTGTTTAGTTGCAGACTTGCAGCTTCATTGAGTTTATGTTATAACTGTTTACTTCATCTGGGTTTCAAGTTTCTTGTCAGCTATTAAAAGACTGAAACTATTTCAACTTGATTTTTTTTTCACATAAACTATACATTCATTTGGGAAATGACTTCAAATGAGACAATTCAAGGAGAGAAAAACTATTGCAATAGTATGGCAATAGTTGGTCACAATAGTGTGTTGCAATAGACTATCACTATCGCAATAGTTGTTTCCCCCTCAATAGTCACCCCTAATAACTATGCTTTGAACAGCTTTTCAGTTGTAATTATAATCTAAGGTTAATTATCCTGGAAAGTTTGATAATGACTCAGGTTGAAGAAGAAAACAGCCTGCGCAGTTGGTTGTTTAATATTGTAAAAACGTTTTGATATTTTACTCACTTTAGACCATTACAACACAAAAATACACACACAGTTCTAAGCAAACACATCTCCTTTCACATAACACAACTAATGTGGACATCTAAACCTTGTGAAGGGGGGATTTCTCTGTTCATCATTTTTAAATTTATTGTTACAATTACACGATAAGTAAGTGGTCTTACAAAGGATATGAATTATTAATATATGAACACTGCCCGCAAAACACATACTGAAAATGGAAAGAGATAATAGACAACTGCTGTACAATGCAGCCTTTGTTTGCCTTTGTCAAACAACTTCAGAATTTCCAGTATGGAGACATGGATATATTTAATAAATTCTCTGAAATTAAATAGGAAAAATCTGTTCCCTTACCCAATAACATCCAACTCAATCACATTCACACAAGTCTATTCATCTAAACGTTCAAGAGAGCAAGAGCAGATACCTCAACCATAGTTTTCGTATGATGTAAACCTAATTATAAATAATGAACATCAAATCAAACAAAAACTTATTCAATTTAGCATAACCAGAGAGAAAGAAATTTTGGGCAGGGGAGTTTATGCTAATTGACACTTTTCTGACTTCACCGACTATCCATGGATAAACAAACACCTAATAAGCCACTGACTGCTGCTAGTCTCTATCCCAACTTGAAAAGAAACATGTCACATCATCCCTTCACTCCCAAGTTTCTCTGACAAGTTACAGGCGGTAGTTTGTGCAACATCACAATAAACTAGGTAAGTGACTATATATCACATAGGATATAAACGCAATATACACCAGCACTTATTTACATATTTACAGACACCATGAAGAGTATACAACACATAAAATCCATCTAGAGCATATAGCATAAACTGTTATACAAAACACATACATACCATTCTTTCACACATAATAGCTTTCTGAGACATTAACCCTTGCTTCTTACATATTGTGTTTGTGCACACCAGTAACACCGTATTTGCTGTAATAAGTACACTGGACATTTAAAATATTGACAAAATTGGGAGATCAAGCTGGAGCAAACCAACTTAGATCAGACATATATTTATAATAATACATGATGTAGTTACAAGGCAGATAATACCCCTCAGCACTGGTGCCTTCTGAAAAAAGAAAATATGGACAATTGAATCAATTTTCAGTGTTATTAGGTTATGGGGGGCTCTTACAAAGAATCCTAACAGGATTGTCTAGAATTCGGTCAGGAAGCACTTAAGGCACTTGATACAGCAAATATGGTGTAAACAAATACTGGGGTTATTTATGTAATTTGTCACTAATGATAACCAATTATTTGACTGTGTTGACTGTACAAAATGTCATGTTATCTCATGCTAAGTTTTTCAGTATAATTATCACATGATGAAACTAAATAACTCAATGCTAACTAAAAGCAGTATTAATGTTTGTCAAAGTTTCCTCAGGATACAAGCCTCACTCTGTCCTGATGCAACTTATAATCAACTCAAACATTCCATAAAGCATTGGGCATTGATAAAAGGGAGAATGAATAAACCCAATACTTTCACTATCTGATAGCCTTGGTGTTATATCTGACCTAATTAGTAAAATATTGTTAATATTGTTTAAAGGGCCACTGATCCAGAGCGATTAATGTTTCTAGCCAACATTCTAATTACGAAACCAAGCTGCAGGCTGGTCACTACCTGCTCCCTCGACCGTGACGGACACGGGACTGGGCTACTGTCCACCTTGGCAGAATTTCTTCAACCTAATCAGTGGGGCATTAGGAAGGGTGGATGTCCATCAGATGCCGTTATTTGAAAATATCCCCGGTAGTTCTTATCTGATTGTAATAAAGTATCCCAGCAGTGTAGGCTTTTTCAGATTTTCATATACTTGGATGGTATATTGACTGATCCTATTTCTGTGTTTTCTACCTCGATATTTAATCATGTAAAAATATGATGTCTATTACCTATGCTATGATATCAAAAACACACATTTGATATATTTGAATCCATAAACAGACCCACTTTGCCATTGCTAAAAAAAATCTAAAATTTTACTTAGGTACATAGGTATATACAGTTTTTAACTAAGTACACAGCAAATGTTTATATATATTTCGTATGTAACATTGAAGTTCCCTTTGTATCCTCAAAACAGTGTCGGCCCAAAAGGGTGTTTTTCAGGCAATACAGCGATTACTACTCTCTTGCTGTAACCCTTGTTTGGTGGTAAACCTACACTTATTTGTCATCATTCACCTGATGGTCAGTTAATGAATTTATAACAGGCATAATTAGTGATAATACCACTCGGATACCATTGATTGATTGCTCATTATTGGCTAACTAAATTACTTTTTTAAAGAATGGAGGACATCATGCAATTAGTTGCCAGGTGTGATATCTTGGGTGACCAATGGGACTACACACCAATGTTAAAAACTTGAAACGATAGATCATGTTTTCGCATATTAGACTGTTAAAAGACACATGACATGGAACAGGATTCTTTGTCAGCTGCAGATGAATGGCATCTCATTCCTTTATCTGGATATTGATGGATTCATTCCCCGAACAAGGTAATAGCCTGATATTGTTGCTATAACTTTAGTCTGTTTTAATTTTAATATTTGCATTTTGTTTTTATTTATTTGTTATGGCATTCAACAGAATCGGGTTTTTTTTTTGTGAAATATGATTCACGTTGGCAAGCTAAAAGATGTCTAGATATTACAGTCATGTTATAACAAAAATATAAAGAAGTACATTGACTTCGTTATTTCAGTCCTAACTTTTATTACCACAGGCAGATGGTTAAACTTAAAATGTTTTCATTTGTTATAAAAATAATGCCATTTAATACAACATTCAGATTGACTAGTATTGAACCCAAGCTCACTACTCTCCCCAAGACTCCCCATGTACTTTGTTAGCTTTACTTTCAAAACAATGCTATTATATCAGGCTTCTCACCAAATTCACGGTCAAACTATTTCTTAAATCAAATTCTACATCCATTTATGTTAACATTTTTATAAAGTCAACATTACTATGAAATCAAAATTTTACATCAAAATCAGCATTTTTCATCAAAGTGAATATTTTTTTTATAAGAAACCAAATTATTCATCAAAGTCTACATAATCTAACAAAAAATCAACATAAGATGGAAATATTATAGAGTAAAAAACATTTCATCTTTGTTGATCAGTCTATACTTATACATGTACTATCAATTACGCATGAGGGTGGTGCAGCAGAGGTAACGAACCAGTCATGAATTCTGGGATATCATCCGGGTACTCACGGGAGAAAAACAATAACAAAAGCAACAACCAGTCCTCGGAAATTGCTCTGGATCAGTACCCCTTTAAGGCTGGCTGTGGTTAAAGTCTCATCATAAGCAACAAGTAACATTTGACAAGAAAACCCCACACTAATACAGTACATTTGCACATTGATAATTCAGGATTAAATTAAACAGTATTTAGCTTCCTAAAAACATCTTCTAGCTGGTCAAATAATGTGCCTTACATTTTCAGCATACATTAAAAAACACTAATATATAAGAAACAGACATACTTAACCCATTCACAATAAAACTTGATAATATTCGTAAAAATATTTAAGAGCTTAACTGGACAACAAATCCGCACATAAAACAATTTCGATAAAGCTCAGTTCAGCTATGTACATAACATGAAGACCATGCAGTATTACAAACATACGCTGCAGATATTACGAACAACATTCAGCCGCATTCTGTCAATATTATGAACAAACATATACAATCAAACAATGATATGGTAAACGCTTGAAGTGAACAGCCTGTTGACTGAAACAACATATTATGGAAACCTATACAAAATGAGAAAAATGCATTGGATCCCAAAATTTGATTTGCTATTAAAAGTAGTTAAGTCCTCATGATTATACAAATAATTGTTTCACATCATACATTATAAATCACTAATTTCAATTAATATTCTCACCAAACCAAAAGGTCATAAATTATTATTTATTCATGGCTTGGTGTCATACAAAGGGTGAGGTGAGGTGAAATTGGGTTTAACATCGTGCTCATACAAAGGGAATCAGCCTGAATTACCAATATGGCCACCTGCTTCTTCCACTGGGTATCAAAACACTCTGACCTAACTCAGACAATAAACTTGATATGGAAAAGACAGGATTTGAAAACAAACAAAACAAATATCTTTCATTAGATCACCTAAAATAAACTATTGGGTTTTTTTCTTTGAGAGAATATGAGATAGCATTACTCGTGAGATTCATCAGCTTAAATGTAAGGAATTCACAAATTACACAAACATATTCAGTTGCCATTTATTCTGTCAGGCCATTCAGAAAATTAGTTAGTAATCTCATTGATGACTACAAACCCTAATAAATGAATGCTTTATATTCTGAAACAAATTCAAAGATCAACAAATCGCCTATGCTAAATGCCCATGTATAGTGCTTGCACCAAGAACCTAACGGAGCTAGTTTTCAGTTTCCCTCAAGCTAAGTGAAGTACTAATTTCCTAACAAGTATTTCTAATACATTTAAGTTATCCCGAGTACCTCAAATTAAACACACTTTAACACTGTTATAAGTGAAATATTATGATATCCAGAAACTATTTGTATTGACAAAACCAACTGATAGGTAATATCAATTTCTCATCTCTTTGCTATGCTTAAAGGTAACTCATGATTGACTGTGTGATTAAATGTTACACAAAAATATGAATAGCTCACAACATGACCATTCATGTATTACATATACTGGCACCATGAGAAACAGATTTATCTCACAAACGATTGTTCGTGTACAAATCATAAATACAGAACAACAAATAATAATGTCGAGTGGAACATCAAACATGGCACAAGTAATCTAGATGCTATGGCATGGTTGATAATATTTCTTTGGTGTGAACCTGTGTATTTCAAGTTTCTTGTGTGACACAAGTATTAACATATATTTTTCAAATGTTGCTGTCTCCACTCAGCACCTTGTTTCTTAACTCCTCTTTAGTGATATTTTGTTGAAACTGATAACAAAACAACCCACAGAAACTGTACTCGTCACATTTTTATATAATCACAGGTATTCTGCTAATCACAGGTATTTTGCCCCTATGTTACAAATAATCTGTTTTACAACTCTCAATGCTGGAATACTTAGCAAACAAATCTGCATGAATATTGATTCTAAATGAGTGAGTGAGTATGGTTTTACGTCGCTTTTAGCAATATTCCAGCAATATCACTGCAGGGGACACCAGAAATGGTTGATTTTAAATAAAGTGACAAAACATACAGAACCCTACCAGCTAACTTTGTTTTTCTTTGTTTATTGTTCAATGCCACACTCAGCAATATTCCAGCTATATGGTGGCGGTCTGTAAATAATCGAGTCTGGACCAGACAACCCAGTGATCAACAGCATGAGCATCGATTTACACTGTTGGGATGCGATGACATGTTGTCAACTAGTCAGCGAGCCTGACCATCTGAAGCTAACTTTGCAGTTAGAGATGGAGCAATGGAAACACCCTTAGTTCAAACATCTATGAACCTACTACATCTTTAGAATGGTTAAAAGGCCATGACATATCCTTTCAATATTTCTGTGATTTTTGTAAATCTCGAAAAGTCTCGTAAATTTACCACCTTTGTTTGCCGTGCTCACAAAGATCAGTTATAAACTAATATAGAAGCTGGTTTGGACCTGAATATGCCAAATACAGTACCTCGAGTGAGTGAGTTGCGTTTTATGCTGCTTTTAGCAATATTCTAGCAATACCATGGCAGGGGACACCAGAAATGGGCTTCACACATTGTACTCATGGGGGAATCAAACCTGGGCCTTCATCGTGACGAGCGAATGCTTTAACCACTGGGCTACCCCACCCCAGTACCTCAAGTCACTTGATGCGACACAGTTCATATCAGGAGGAACAAAGTCTAACAAGGGCCTCATGTAAACAAGGTTTAACTCCGGGTGGTAAGTTGTCTCCCTTTATCAGAACACATTACTTGACCACGTCCATCGCTAATCCTCCTCTGGAGTAAGCAGGGTCTCGCATTCCATGTTCTCAACACCCAAGTGATATCATATTTGACAACATGAGCAATCAAAGACACACTGTACTCATCAGCTGAATCAAAACGGGGTCGGTAGTGTGACCAAACCATCCATTTGTTCTTCAGTGAATGAATCCGCTAATCTTAATGATCCCCAGACCGTGAAATCATGTTGTGTTTTCTCAAATTATACAACAATTGTAGAATGTCATTTACTGATAATAATGGAAATTAAGCTATACTCCTTAGCTGCCATACCTCCATGTACCACTTATAAATAATGAATCAAGTTTGACATTTTGGCCTTTGTGGTTAACTTGTACTTATTCAAAACCTCTCATATTACTCTAATGTTGTGACCCCAAACATGCTCATCACAAAGCTTTAACTACTTGCTCCCCATAAGTGACTACGGTGAGTGGAAGTGTAGTTTGCTCTACAAGCAATACCGCAACAATGAGCACTGGATCTCACGAATGGACTTCACAAACCTGCATGTGGGGAATCGTACTGGGTACGCTGCTGCAAGGTGAACCTGAGACCCATTAGGGTAACCATCTTCTACTCAGAGAAGCAGAAATATTCTCTGAGGTTTGTGCATACAGTAATTATCAATCCACATATAAATGTACAGCTAAACCCTGATAAGATCTGAAGAGGCAGGAAAACTCTACTCCTCCTATTCCATATACAACAAAAGCACGTATTTCCTTCCTGACACTACTCACTACATGATACGAAAAAGTCACAATATTCATGCCTAGGTCATCTGTAACACGCCTCTGCTTTGTAGCTGAGCATGTTCTTTGTACTTAGTTCATCAACAAATCATAATGCAAACTGATTTGATGCGTACTGATAACATAGGCTCTTAAAACAATTTTACAATGTATAATACATGAAAGGAATATACATTCTTCTAATATCCCACTGCATTGTCTTTTCACCGGACTGGTCATCTGTACTACATTCTCCACTCTTGCCGTTACACACACACATTAAAGACTCGATCACACTGTAGAGAAAGTTCTCATTGGCTCGGCGTCTTTGCAGTCCAAAAGTCAATCGGTTACCATGGTAACATCAGATTCACACTTTCATGTCTTCTTGGGCAGCGAGACTTGCCAGTGTCTTTCTGATCCTGAGTGCTGTCAGTCTAGCAGCAGCATTGGGGTACCAGCACTCCTTCATCAGTTTAGCCATTACATGCAGGGCCTAAAATACAAGAAAATTGTAGTCAGTTTGGTTGGTTGGTTTCTTGTTTAACATCGCACTCAGCAATAGGGGTGGGTATTGCAGAGAATTTTCATATTATATATTGCGATGCGGAAGCATATATTGCGATATGTATTGCAATATATTGCAAGAATTATTTTTTTAACAAAAACTATTTATAATCGAGTTAATGCTTGATTATAAAGCAAAAACACCACAAAATCACTATGATTGATTAACCTTTAATAAAACTTTTAATCATGACAAAATAAAAATGTAAGTAACATTTGGCACTAATGAAACAGGGAAAAGAACAATTAAAAAACGGAAATATCCGAAGATTTCGAGTGTTACGAAGTTTTCCGAATGCATGTCAAAATACCAGTTTTCCATCAGCGTATCGCAATGCGTATCGTTTTCATGTCTGAACCGGTAAATACCGGTAAACCGGTTATATTACGCAGCCCTACTCAGCAATAATCCAGCTATATGGCAGGAGTCTGTACATAATCGAGTCTGGACCAGACAATCCAGTGAACAACAGCATGAGCATTGATCTAGGCAATGGGATACGATATGTGTAAACCAAGTCAGTGAGCCTGACCACATGATCCTGTGGGTCATCTTTTACGACAATCATAGGTTGCTGAAGACCAATTCTAACCCGGATCTTCACGGGTATGTAGTCTGTACAAAATTAGAAAATAAGGGAGGATAATACTTAAACCTAAACCATGAATGTTTGAGCAGGTTATTAAAACTGATAACTATACCATGTATATCAAAGTGGGAATATCAATCATAGACAAGTAAAGTGGAATTTGTCAGTTGCTTTTATAATACTGCTCCATCAAGTGGGGGGGCGGTGGGGTAGCCTAGTGGTGAAAGCGTCCGCTCGTCATGCTGAAGACCTGGGTTCGATTCCCCACATGGGTACAATGTGTTAAGTCCATTTCTGGTGTCCCCTGCTGTGATATTGCAAAAGGCAGCGTAAAACCCAACTCACTCAACTCACTCACTCACTCACTCACTCCATGAAGTGGGCATAAGCAGTACCTAAATGTTAGGGATGCCAAAGAGGGACTGTGAACTAGTGCAGTCCAACTGTCCAATTCAGGTATTCCTCAATTGCTAAACTGATAATAGATCTTTGTAGAATAACTTTGCTCATTGGCTTCTGTGAATAAGATTTTAAAACGCATACACGTCACAGTCCATTCAATAAAATGGTCATGTTGTATTACACACAGCAGGAATTGGCCAAGGCCTGTCCAATCCTTGCACATATTGGATGTAATATATGCACGTCATAAAATTTGGAATTGCTGACAAAGTTGGTTCTGAATGTCTTGGATTTGCTTTGACTGCAAATTAGCTCTAGTTTAGTCTGTCTATAGGGGTAAGACTTTACAATGTGCCTACCTCAAACGTCTGCCACCGATTAGGAATGGCCGGCCTATGCTTCTCGATACAAACTACCTTCTTCATGTCATCAAGGGAGGGGTCTGGTGGAACTAGGTCATAGTAAGGCATCTGATACTCCTCAAAAATGCCTGAAACATATATTAAGAAAAGATTACATATCAATATCTTGAAATTCCTACTGAATGATGCAACATAAGTACCAAATACACTGTTGAGCAATGAGTGAAATACTGGGATGGAAATGAATATGAATGAAAAACAAGGATAATGATCTTTGGAGGGGTTCACAAGAAACCCCAGCGCGATCAAATCTGCAGAATCCCACAGAAAATTCTCATCCCTGGAGATACAAGCTGTTACTGAAACTGACACAGGGCTTTGGAACTGTTTGGGGGACCATAAATATTGAAAGGTCTGATTTGAAAACAGAAGTCGATAAGGAGCCCGTCTGCCATCTTTGTATCCAAAGACTCAACCAAATAACAAACACAAATCTTCTAGAACCATGAGGATACAATGTTCATAAGCATACCTCCGATCATGCATCTGCGGGCAATCTCCCACAACACCAAGCCAAATGAGTACACGTCTGCCCTCTTGAAGGATTCAAAATGGTTCATGTTGATGGACTCATCCAGAGCCTCTGGTGCCATGTAACGTTTCGTCCCAACTCGGTTGTTGGGAGCAATGTCGACTTGGTCTGTCTTGGAGTCATGGCGTACTGCCAGACCTGCAATATATCATTTGTCACGACTGTTAGGTCAAGTCAATAGTAGCTGAAACAGGACAAAAATCACTACATTGTTGGCCGTTAGTTTCTTGGGACCTTGCCTAGTCTGGAATCAGTGGAATAATAGATGGTTGGTTGGTTGGTTGTTTAACACTGCACTCAGCAACAGTCCAGCTATATGGCAGCGGTCTGTAAATAATCAAGTCTATAACAGAGATCCAGTGATTAACAGCATGAGCATCAATCCACACAAATAGGATAGAATGATACATGTCAACCAAGTCAGCGAGGCTGACCACCCAATCCTGTTCGTGGCCTTTTATGACAAACATGGGTTGCCGAAGACCAATTCTAACCCGGATCTTCACGGGTTGGGTAAAGATGGTTCAGAGGAATCAGTTGAGTGTCTTGTGGTGTACTGCATGTATGTGTCTATGTGTGAGTGTATGTCTGTCAGTGTGTTTGTGTGTCGAGCACCAGAGAATTTCTATACTGCAACGTCCACCTGGTCAAATATTACATTGGTGGTAGTGGTTAAAGCATTTGTGTGTCACGCCGAAGACCAGGGTTCGATTCCCCACATGGGTACACTGTGTGAAGCCCATTTCTGATGTCCCCTACCGTGATATTGCTGGAATATTGCTAAAAGTGGCTTAAAACTAAACTCACTCACTCACTTTAATATAAAAATTTTATGATAAAATTAATATTTTATACTTATCCTGACTCATGCATATTTATTCAGGAATGAGAAAGCAAATAAGCATGTGTCAGGATAAGGAAAAATATTACATATATATCACATTTGTTATAATCTCACCATAGATCGACCACTGCATAATCAGACAACCAATAAATGATTTATTTTGACCTGTGGAAACCCAAGTAACGACTCACCTAAATCAGCTATACAGCAGCCATTTGCTTTGACTAGAATATTTTTGCTCTTCAGATCTCTGTGGGCAATAGCTGGTTTACCTGTAGAAAAACACCCAGTGTTACAAGGGAATTAAGAGTCATTAAACAGCATGTATTATAACTATACAAAATGATGAGGAAGAGATGGTAACTAAAATTATTATGTCTATCATGATAAAAAAAAATTCCATACTTGCCATTCTTGATAATAATTACGTAAAATCATGCTCATAAATATTATTTAGATGTTCAAGTGTCAGAATATTAATAAAACCTGTGAAGTTAGTGTGAGTGTTATCAAAACAGAGACATAGTATGAGGGCTGGAAGTACAGGAAGTACCAGATTCATCCACTTCGATTTAGAGTTATCGGCCCCTATTACCTCTAAACAAACATGGCGGCTACTACTTCCAACTTGTTTTTACTTCATATCAACTATACACTCATATGGGAAATGTCTTCAATTGAGACAATTCAAACAATTCAAGGAGTAACAAGAAGACAAAGTCATCAATATCCCCCGCAATGGCAAAATACTCTTCATGAATATGTCTACAACTTATGATTATGTCAAATGTTTTGATGTGTATATAGGAAAGTGGAAGGAGAGTATTGAAAGAGTATTTAAAAGTTCTGCTCCAGAAAGGAGCACTACCACCAATTTCAGTCTAAGTCAAACTTGTTGCCATGGAAACGCCAAAAATATTTATTCAGAATTCCAAAATTACCAAAAAGCACCAGTACACCACTAGACCAATCTATGTGCCAAGTTTGGTGAAGAAATAGTGAATGGTTTTAGAGATCTGCTCCAGAAAGGAGCACTTCCACCAATTTCAGTCAAAGTCAAACTTGTTGCCATGGAAACGTCAAAAATATTTAATTCAGAATACCAAAACTTCCGAAAGGCACCAGTACACCACCAGACCAATCTGTGTGCTAAGTTTGGTGAAGAAATAGTGAAAGGTTTTAAAGTTCTGCTCCGGAAAAGACAAATGTGCACGGACGGATGCGCGCATGCACGGACGGAGTCCATTTTAATACCCCCTGCAAAACACATTGAGGGGGATAAAAAACTATTGCAATAGTATGTTGCGTCCCCCTAGGTGCATTATGAGGCAGAAAAACACTCATAATGCTCAGATAATAGATCTCAGTTCACTTGGATGTACATATTATCCATGTAATGATGGTACATTATGCCAATGTCAGTTGGCCAATGTGCCAAATGTCAATTTAGGTCCTTGATGACTTCTAGTTTGGAATTTCTGTATACAAACCCCTTCAATATGCAATTTCTAACATAAATGAGACAGGACCAGTACCCCTGTCATATACAATTGAAACACTCGAGGAAGGCATATGTCATTTGATAGACAGAAAACACCTGCATGTATCGCACCAACTCTGATCTTGGTCAAAGAAACTATTCAATATTTTCTTGCTGGAGCATCCTACATCTAAGCATTCATACTTAATCTTGATGACACTACAACTGAAAGAACACTCCCTTCACCTTAAGGGGCTGTGGGTAGCCTAGTGGTTAAAGCTATTTAAGCAAGTGCACACCAAGACCTCGGTTCGATTCCCACATGGGTACACTGTGTGAAGCCCATTTCTGATGTCCCCTACCGTGATATTGCTGGAATATTGCTAAAAGTGGCTTAAAACTAAACTCACTCACTCACTTTAATATAAAAATTTTATGATAAAATTAATATTTTTATATTTATCCTGACTCATGCTTATTTTTCAGGAATGAGAAAGCAAATAAGCATGTGTCAGGATAAGGAAAAATATTACATATATATCACATTTGTTATAATCTCACCATAGATCGACCACTGCATAATCAGACAACCAATAAATGATTTATTTTGACCTGTGGAAACCCAAGTAACAACTCACCTAAATCAGCTATACAGCAGCCATTTGCTTTGACTAGAATATTTTTGCTCTTCAGATCTCTGTGGGCAATAGCTGGTTTACCTGTAGAAAAACACCCCGTGTTACAAGGGAATTAAGAGTCATTAAACAGCATGTATTATAACTATACAAAATAATGAGGAAGAGATGGTAACTAAAATTATTATGTCTATCATGATAAACAAAATTTCCATACTTGCCATTCTTGATAATAATTACGTAAAATCATACTCATAAATATTATTTAGATGTTCAAGTGTCAGAATATTAACAAAACCTGTGAAGTTAGTGTGAGTGTTATGAAACAGAGACATAGTATGAGGGCTGGAAGTGCATCAAACTAATGCATGCCCATCCACTTCGATTTAGGAGTACCAGATTCATCCCTATTACCTCTAAACAAACATGGCGCTACTTCCAACTTGTTTTTACTTCATATCAACTATACACTCATATGGGAAATGTCTTCAATTGAGACAATTCAAACAATTCAAGGAGTAACAAGAAGACAAAGTCATCAATATCCCCCGCAATGGCAAAATACTCTTCATGAATATGTCTACAACTTATGATTATGTCAAATGTTTTGATGTGTATATAGGAAAGTGGAAGGAGAGTATTGAAAGAGTATTTAAAAGTTCTGCTCCAGAAAGGAGCACTACCACCAATTTCAGTCTAAGTCAAACTTGTTGCCATGGAAACGCCAAAAATATTTATTCAGAATTCCAAAATTACCAAAAAGCACCAGTACACCACTAGACCAATCTATGTGCCAAGTTTGGTGAAGAAATAGTGAATGGTTTTAGAGTTCTGCTCCAGAAAGGAGCACTACCACCAATTTCAGTCTAAGTCAAACTTGTTGCCATGGAAACGTAAAAAATATTTAATTCAGAATACCAAAACTTCCGAAAGGCACCAGTACACCACCAGACCAATCTGTGTGCTAAGTTTGGTGAAGAAATAGTGAAAGGTTTTAAAGTTCTGCTCCGGAAAAGACAAATGTGCACGGACGGATGCGCGCATGCACGGAACGGAGTCCATTTTAATACCCCCTGCAAAACACGTTGAGGGGGATAAAAAACTATTGCAATAGTATGTTGCGTCCCCCTAGGTGCATTATGAGGCAGAAAAACACTCATAATGCTCAGATAATAGATCTCAGTTCACTTGGATGTACATATTATCCATGTAATGATGGTACATTATGCCAATGTCAGTTGGCCAATGTGCCAAATGTCAATTTAGGTCCTTGATGACTTCTAGTTTGGAATTTCTGTATACAAACCCCTTCAATATGCAATTTCTAACATAAATGAGACAGGACCAGTACCCCTGTCATATACAATTGAAACACTCGAGGAAGGCATATGTCATTTGATAGACAGAAAACACCTGCATGTATCGCACCAACTCTGATCTTGGTCAAAGAAACTATTCAATATTTTCTTGCTGGAGCATCCTACATCTAAGCATTCATACATCTTGATGACACTACAACTGAAAGAACACTCCCTTCACCTTAAGGAGTGGGTTGCCTAGTGACACTACAACTGAACATGGGCACTCCCTTCCATTTCTGGTGTCCTTATTGAACAAAAGCGGCGAAAACTAAATGCCAGTCTGGATCATTGCCCTGGATCATTGGTGGCAATGCGAAGAATTTCTCAGTCCATGAAGGTAACCAGCAGTTCATTCACCTTTTGGGGCGGTGGGGTAGCCTAGTCTTAAAGGCACAATGTCACACAGTTTTGACAATATTTTGGCCTATATTTTATATATTGGGGGCATATGCACTCACTTTAGCTTCCTAGTGATGCAACAAAAGACTTATTATCCCTGAAATTGATAAATGGAACATCGAGGCTTCCAACCAGCTTCCGAACAGCTTCCAAACAGATAACACTTGCCATATATGGAATGTGAACGATTGCTCCGGCCATCAAAAACTGTCGCACCCGGTTTTGTCCGTGTTTGCCGAACTGGTTTCAATCACAAGTTGTGTGTAGGATATTCATAAAGAGTGCTCCAAGGGACATAACTCTATGGGGTTTGCTTGATATAATGTTCGGCTGGTAGAGGGCTCGAGATTCAATTTAATGCAACGTTGCATTAATTCATTCGAACTTTTTAATTCAATATTGTAATCTAAATACATAATTTGGGGGGATTAAATTATATGGTAGCTTCCCTGAGGACTGATAATATTATTGAGAGAAATGCATTATTTATTTTTAGAGAAGTGTGGTGTAACATTGTGCCTTTAAGGAGTTCGCTCGTCACGCCGAAGACCCAGGTTCGATTCCCCACATGGGTACAATGTGTGAAGCCCATTTCTGGTGTCCCCTGCCTTGATATTGCTGTAATATTGCTAAAAGAGGCATAAAACTAAACTCACTCACTAACTAACTCACCTTGTTGACCAAGAATCTCCATATGAAGATGGGAGAGTCCATTAGCAGCTGACAGAGCCAGCTTAATCATCTGTGCAGGGGTGACAGGCTGTCTGTTGAGATAGTCGAACAAGGAACCATTCTCATGGTAGTCAGTGATGAGCCACAACTGTGTCCATGTGCCATTGTCTGAAACATACCCATAGAAGTGACGTCAAAGACACTGCAATTGACTGGATGCAAAATAGTGTGTCATATGCACATACAAATTGAGAAGACACAAAACCTCCAAAATGCAGGGATAAACCTAGGGTGCGTTTCAGCGGCATATCCGCATCAAAATATGAATTGCCGCTGACAGAAATTTGGGTTGTGTCTTGTGGACACAAAATATTTGAAAACGCTGCATCCAAAAAATACAAGTGTGGCCTAAGTAAATATATAAAGCAATAACTATTAAGGGAACCAGTTTTAATCCACATCCAATAATATCCCTGATTGGTTGTTGTAATAAGTTCAGCCAATGAAAGAGTGTTTCCAAATATCTTTTATTTTGCAACTTTTGGTTTCGGTTTTCGTTCATTATCATGAATGATCATGTCTCAGAAAAGAATTACGAGCTTATTAAAACAGTTTATTAACATACAAATTAAGTAAATACATTTAGCTGAAAACTTCGAACACACAAATCTAAAAGGGACCGACCTAAAATTAACCCGGTGTGGCACTTGGACCCTCCTATCAAGTATTGGGGCCCACCCAAATTTAACAAGGTGGGGCATTGGCCTACCAAAACAAAATTCCTAGGTTTATCCCTTAAAATGGTTGTTACATGTTATCTATGCTTCTATTCTGGAAAGAAATACTGTCAGTTAAGGGTGTCAGTGGCTCTGGCTTTTGATCTAAAATGTTTTTTTCAGAGATTGAAAGACTGGAAATAGATCAACCATAAAACAGCTAGTTCTATGATAGGTTGAAACTTCAAGAAAACCTATGAGGTAGGCCACCCCAATTGTAAGGGAAATTGAGATTCATTTCCACCCAGCAGTAAAATTGGGTACCTGGTATGATACGATGGTAGTCTGAATTTGAACCTTGAGCGCCTGACAGGCGACCGGTTGTATTCTCCACATGGAGTGTTCTGTACTCGTTGACCAGGGGTAATATGTCAGCGCTTTGAGCATGCAATTTGCATGGATAAACGCGCAATATAAATGGACTATTATTATTATTATTTGTTTATAAAGACACCATTAGTTAAACATAACAATTCATATCAGACTGTTCAAACTTGTGACCTACCACATCTCACAAGACGATACTTGCCTGTTTGCAACTACAAATTTATTTGTCTTGGAGTAGCGGTTCTACTAGGATTTCTACATAGTTTGAGGCCATTTCTTAGCCTTGGCATTTAAAATGTTCAAATCAACACTCCGTCGCTTCCTCATATTGAAGCCTGGCATATTTTTGACAGAACATGTACTCAGCTACTGAATCAGAAGAGCAGCTGTGAATGTTTTTGTTGGTCTGTCATCAACGATGTCAACATATCAACCACATTCACGTAAAAAACCACAGAGGTCACCATCCCTCTGAATTTATGACACTAAAATGTTAATACACGTAAAATACCATTCAGAAATCTGATCTCAATAAAACTGATAGGTCACTGAGGTTGAATTCGTTAACAGCAACACCTGTTAGAGCACTCAAAACAAACCAGATGTCAGTACGTGCGAGCAGAACCGAGGATTGTGCAGCTAAAGTGACCAATCATGCATGAGTTTAGGGTTAAAATGTGCCCTGCACTTGACAGTTTTGAATTAATGCCCGCAATTTCAGTTGCACAGAGCTGAGTAAACTGTTGTTCAATATCACTCTTGTGTCAAAGTAAGGGTATGTCAGGACAAAATTATTTTGCAACATGACACATTGTGTATATAAGCGTGTCAAAAGTCATGTTTGTCGTATATTTGATGTAATAATATTATGAATATCAACAAAAATGTTAGCATTAGTGAGCAGAAGCAGAATTCAGGAGTCCTTCGTTTGAAGACTATCTAAGGCTGTTACAGTTCACACACATATTTGTTGAATAAAACAGTATTCAATCGGACTGACTGACTGAGTTTGGTTTTACGCCGCTTTTAGCAATATTCCAGCAACATCACGGCAGGGGACACCAGAAATGGGCTTCACACATTGTACCCATGTGGGGATTCGAACCCTGGTCTTCGGCATGAGGAGCCAACGCTTTAACCATTAGGCTACTCCACCGTATTCAATCGGAAAAAGACTGGCCAACCAACCGTCCGAGTTTAGTTTTACACAATATTTCTGCAATATCACCGCGGGGACACCAGAAATGGGTTTCACACATTGTACCCATGTGGGGTATGGAACCCGGATCTTCGGCGTGACAAGCACACACTTTAACCACTAGGCTACCCCACTGCCCCAATCAGAAAAATGAACCAGTTCACTACTAGACTGATGTTTACAGCAAGAATTAGGAAGAAATATTTAATCATTACAGAGTTCTTTAGTAAAGTCCCCTTGTTGTCATGACAACAAAAATATTCAAAATACCCAAAAATTCCAAATCCGGCCAAATAAACAAGATGTTGTGGTTCCGATTACACCTTTTTAAAATTTAGGGTAGGTAGGTAGGAATTTTTTTTTTTAACATATTTTTTTTAGAAGTAATAGAAGTAAAGTACAAACTAATAACACATTTATCAATGTGTAATTGTTTATTTAATCAAGCTTGCAGCCATCATGTCAACTTTCTCTATCAGAATGACCGATGTTTGTCGGTGCCGGGAAAAATTCAATGGTATCTGAAAGCTTATTTTATTCATACCACTTAAAGGTCACATTCAACATTCAGATTCTGATACAATTTGGTATGGACTTACAGTAACAAATGATCAAAGATGCAAATTCAGCTTATAAAGTTGAAAAATAGCGCGATGAAAAAAACCCTCTGCGAAATTGGATTTCAAACGATTCACTAAATTCAGTTGCAACATCTGTGGTTTCAACATCTGTGCTGCGCTGTGCTGAACTGCGCTCATGGCACATGCACAGTGAAAATGTGTCTGCCTGCCTGTCTGCCTGTCTGCTAATGACAATATGCAATACATAACCTCGATCACTGACCACATGCAATTTGAACTTAACACCTATCAGGCTACACACCATAAACAAAACGCATTGATTTAAGGCTCATGCACCCGAGTTCTGTCTCTGTCACATTATGTCATTACACAGATATGCAGGTGTGATACTTGTACACATGACATGTTATGGTGTCTGTTGATTGCAAAATGTTATACACAAAAATGAGCATGTATTTACAAAAACCAACATCTCTACACACACAAAGAGCCCTGAGTGTATCGGCAAATGAAACAGCCAATGAAAGTCTTCGTTACACTTGAGTGCACATTCCCCGCTCTGACTGGGTTCGGTATCCTGAGTGCTTCGTTTCGAGGGAAGTAAACCCAAGTACAAAATATTGCACTTTTGATTTGCGATTGCACTTATAATTTTGTTTGTTTTGTCATAATCAGAAATGTATATAATATGTCATGAATAAGTGATAATTCTGTTTTAATTATGTTTGGTTTTTTTTAGGTTGCACGTGACCTTTAAAAAAAATAGGGTCAGTACCAGAATTCAAGGGTCTGTCCGGTTATCGGAACCACAACGTTTTTGTTTTTAGGCCTCATCTAAAGGCACCAGTTCATCACTAAACTGATCAGTATAGACCGTGTTGACAAGGAATATTCCTTACATATGATTATATAAACAATCAATATCTTTATTACAAGGATAGCGTCACTGTGGTGAAGATACTAACACTGTTATCAAGCAAGTGTTTGATATAGCAGTAACTGGGAGTTTCTATCTACACCACAATGTCCCATTTATTGTAATAAGAAAGCTGAATATTTACTCATAATTTGAAAAATCTGTCATTCAAACAAATGAATTGTAAATCCTGCAAGCTCAGGTTGCATAGAGTGATACCTCAAACCACTTGCCGAGGTGTCCCCCAATTTCTTAGGTCATCACATTGGGATTGTGATACCTACCTTTATTGTCAGCGGCAATGAAGCCAAGTATGTTCTCATGACGCAGCATCACAGTCTGGTAGATCTCAGCCTCGCGGAACCAGGACCTTTCCTCGCGAGATGAGAAGATCTTCACCGCCACACTTTCACACCTCCAGTTTCCACGCCACACCTCTCCATACCTCCCCTTGCCGATGATCTCACACAGGCGAATCTGTCGGGCAATTGTTCTCTGGACCAACAGGGGTAAGCCTGCAACAGCAGGGTTTTCATGGTAGGTATTTCAAATTTGATTAAACATGACAAACAACCAATTGTCAAGAGTTAAAGAGTATATATTTCACACACATTTTGTGTCCATTAGAGTGAGTGAGTTTAGATTTATGCCGCTTTTAGCAATATTCCAGCAATATCACAGCGGGGGAAACCAGAAATGGGCTTCACGCATTGTACACGTGAGGAATCGAACCCAGGTCTTCAGCGTGATGAGCAGATGCTTTAACCATTAGGCTACCCCACCGCCCCTACATTTTGTATGACTGTTAACAGTTTTTATATTTCAGCAAAAACTTGTCCACGTTATCTTGATAATTTGGGAATGTTGTTTCATACCACAATGAGCACCATTCAATCTACTTCATATCATTGTTTGGACCAGACAATCTAGTGATAGCATAAACATGAGCATTAACTCTCGCAATAGAGTGTCTTGCTATGGTTATATCTAAAAGTGGCCATTCAATCAAGAAAAACAATACTATTGATTGCCACTGTTTTAAAACGGCAAGAATTTACCTGATGCAAAAAATGTCATACTTTGGTACCACACAGAAAACAGATTTACTCAACAATAAATATAAATAGCAGAATCCACAATCTTCTCATGCTAGAGTTTGTAGTTGTAGTTGCACTATCACTGATTATGAATTTATTATTGAGAAAAAAAGCAGGGGACAAAGTTGGGTTAATTTAATTATCATTGTTTATTCAATCTTTCCTGTATCTCTAGGACCGATACTTTCATTTCTAGTATATTCAGTCTTTCATATCTCTCTGGGACCACTATTTTATAGCTTGGGATACATAATTTAAAACATGAACTTAAACAATTAAGTTGTTTGCGAATCACCTGAACCCCAAAATTAAAATCCATGTAAATCACTGGGTGCTGTTGTTAAAAACAACCGTAGTGCTAAGACTACCTAAGTCTATGTTAAGGTATGGGATTTACGGTCACCTTAGCGCTAAGACTACCTAAGTCTATGTTAAGGTATGGGAGTTACGGTCACCTTAGCTCTAAGATTACCTTAAGTCTATGTTAAGGTATGGGATTTACGGTCACCTTAGCGCTAAGACTACCTAAGTCTATGTTAAGGTATGGGAGTTACGGTCACCTTAGCTCTAAGATTACCTTAAGTCTATGTTATGGTATGGGAGTTACGGTCACACCTTAGCGCTAAGACTACCTAATTCTATGTTAAGGTATGGGAGTTACGGTCACCTTAGCTCTAAGATTACCTTAAGTCTATGTTATGGTATGGGAGTTACGGTCACACCTTAGCGCTAAGACTACCTAAGTCTATGTTAAGGTATGGGAGTTACGGTCACACCTTAGCGCTAAGACTACCTAAGTCTATGTTAAGGTATGGGAGTTACGGTCACCTTAGCGCTAAGATTACCTTAAGTCTATGTTAAGGTATGGGAGTTACGGTCACCTTAGCGCTAAGATCACTTTGTACAACAGCACCCTGAATAATACCTACTTTAGACATTCCTCACAACCATCTACCAAAGAAGCATCAAAAACAACCCAGTCCAGTTATTGCCCTACCTGATCCTGATCCTGAATGTGACCAATCATAGAGCTGGTGCAGTGAAGGTGGTTGCCCAGCAACCAGTGGATTGGTCTCCATACTACGCTCCACATCGTGGTGTGAAGGAGCACGAGTCTTCCGGTACTGTTGATACACGAAGAAACTAGCCAGGAAGAGGGCACACACAAGCACTATCGGAACAGCAATCAGCGCCATCAGCTGTACAGCATCTAGGTCACTTGAGCTTTTCTGTATACCTGATGAATGTGAAAGTGAATAAGTACAGCTCTTGAAGAAATCTGCTGCAAAACAACGTACTTCAAACAAGATTTTTCACTTTGATGAAGCGTTCAAACATGCTTTAAGTAATCAAATATGCTTTATAAAGTTTCATAATGATGAGAAAGACGATAGTGAGAAAAATAGCAAATGATTTGCCATTAATGTTGCTTTGATCAATGTAAAATACAACATGGTATGTCAATTAATTTTTATATATTTCAAATTAAGTTCTTCATATGAAAGGAGACCTAAATTCTAAAATGTAATTAACTCGGAAAAACATTCATCTTGTGAAAGTAGAAATGGCATTTCTGCAAATAAATAAATTCTTGACATTAAGTCTTAATAAAATTCTGATTCTATTTACCTAATTCTGAGACATAAACCTGATGAAGTATGTTTATTTTTAGATTCCAACTACATGAACAAAACGTTCATTTAAAAAAAAGTAAAACCTGATCACAGGATATTGCCAAAGTTTCACAGTTGACACACACAAAATATTTCTCAGAAGTGAAGTACACTATAAAATAGGATTGAAACAATCTAAAACATGCTTTGGGTGCATGATCTCAACTTACTTCTATTTCCACCAGATTCCTCTGAGGATAAAGGTGGAGCCAGTGTTGGGATTGTTTTCAAGTTACACATATCACTGTTGTCACAGCAATGCACATTGAAACTTGACAACTTCTTGCGGCTTGCATGACACACAAATGGTCGCATCAGCGGCTTTAAAGCAGATTTTTCTTTACAGCTGTCAAAAGACAAGTTTATACCAATTAAGTAAAGTATACATAAGAATAGCCAGGGCTACAGATAAGGGGCGTACAGGCGTAATGTACGCCTCAAAATCAATTAAGTACGACATAATATAAGATTTCAAGCGTATCGTGTACGCACATAAATACCTTTGTACGTCTAACATTTAATTTCCGTGCGTATCGTGCAAATTGAAATCTATTTCGGATAAATACTTGTCAAGTTTCTTTTGCGAAACACGATTTGACACATGAGGAATCCCTTGCGTTGCCATGCAACGATATGCGTCACTATTTTTCGATTGGCTAAAAACTACACTGTTCCTATTTATATCCAGTCGGACCTGACATTTCGCACATCACACGGTCGCTCAGTTATTTCTCACGCGTCTTCAAATACAAATACTGTACATGGTTGGAAATAGTGATCGATGAATCGTCCAGACAAACCACATCACCAACTCGCTCACACAAAAACATGTCAGTACTCCTTCAAAATTCTCAGTACACCTCCACTTGCAATATGATGTGTAAGTACACTCGCTTCCCCCCAAAAGTTATCTGGAGCCCTGATAGCGTACAATTATTATTTTTTCATCCAGAAATTACTTTGATTTGTCTATAACGTGTGTTGCGACCAACACAACATCAAACAAAACATCAGACAAAGACCAATTCTAACTCAGATCTTCATGGGTCAATTAAACTTGGCATGGTGATAGCACATTTTCTGTAGACACAATCGCAAAACCTGCTGTCCAGTCGGAAGAAAATAATGTTTACAAGGAGGGGCATTCCACAATATAAGGGGTATAACACAATGGACTGCTATCACTGCTTCACACATCTTCAACAAGAATCAGTCTACTGAATCAAGACTTATTGAGTTCATCCATCAGATGCTCTAATATCAGATAGAGATCCAGACACCTGAAAGATCTTGGCAAGACACTGGCATTTGTTTGATCAGCTCTATCTTTGGAAACATCTAACTAACATATTCAAGACAATTTGAGTTGCAGAGAGTTAATAACATCAAGACTGTAGACATTAAACATGTTAAACAAATTAAAAAAACTTAATAATCATCTGCAAAATTGAAGATATTCAAGATTTGGGATTTGGCAAAATCAACCATTGCTCCTTTAACCATTAATTGTGTATGTTGTCCAATGTTCTATATGTTGTCCAATGTTCTAAGCAAACTAATGGATGTTTATCTCAGCCCTAAGCATAGCTCAGGAAGGATGCACATTGCCAGCTCTTACACTGAAATGATACCGAAGACTTACATGTAGTTGACCTTGACCTCGCCTGCTTCTCTTGTGACCAAGGTCATGCAGACACCATCCGTCTCACAAGTGTCATTTTGCGTTTGACTGCCAGGCGTGCCACAGTAGGTGCACTTGCACAACAGACCTGAAACCAGAGAAAATCATCAATAATTAATATATTTATATACAAACATGACACACAAGATGGCAGTTTAACATTTTGAGGGTGAACAGACCTCCATACGCATGAACTAGTCAAAATTCAAATACTACAGTATCCAACAAGTCAATTGGAACTCCACACAAAGACTTTATTACTTTAAGTACAATGGTTGGATGACAAGTTCTGAGTTTGCCTCTCAAGAAGGAAATTGCTTAGCGATCCTTCATAATTTATGGCCAGGGGTGATGATGATTTTTATGGAGAAGCATGTACAATGTGAATTTAATCCTCCTTCCCCTCCCCCTTAAAATTTCTGTACAAAGGAAGTGACCCCCCTCCACTGTCATGTTTAAATCAATGACGACCCCCCTCGTACATGTGTGCAAAACTGATTACCCCCCTACCTTCCCAGAACAAAATTGACAACCCCTCCTTAAAATTATTATCCCTTAATAATAACATAACAGAGTCTGACCTTTGGGAGATGGACAAAGTTTGAACAAGAGGCTCAGAACTTAACAATCAACCCTCATGACAAACCATCGTGTACATGGAAGAATGTTTTACAACACTGCAGTCAACGATATCGCAGACATATCATGGCAGCCTGTAAATGATCCAGTCTCAAGATCAAAAACATTTCCTCTCCCACTAGGACACAATGACACAGAAAATCTCCAAACCTTACACGCAAACAGATAAGTCTCAGAACACATACACAGGGCTCCAGATCATTTTTCAACATCAGCAGTACATACCGGTACTGCTCATTTGTTCAATATAGGAGTACTGGAAAAACTCACGAGTACATTTCGAGTACTGAATGGAATTTAACGCAGTTTCAGCAATTTTGTGTTTCGTTTCATATATGCACCACAACATTGCTACTCTTGTGTAAATGGGGCAATAAACAATAAAATAATACGCTTTCAGATAAATAAGTCTGCAATTTGTAAATGATTCTGAGATCGGACACCATTGCTGTGGTGCGTATCTGCTACGTTTTCTAAATTATTTCCTACTGTATCATGCATATTTTTTGGCTGTACATAAGCTGATACGGACCTTATCTGGAGCCCTACATACAGGCACCAGAAAAGGGCTTCACACACTGTACCAGGGGTGGAAATAACTTTAAAATTGCTAGTGAGCGAGCGAGTGAGTGAGTTACTATTTAACGTCACATCGGCAATATATCAGCCATATCGTGACGAAAAAATTGCTAGTGTACTCCAGTACAGTGGCACATGTAAAATCACTTGCCCTGATCATTTTTCCACTATACCGGCCGTTTTCTTGTTAATTTTTTAAATAAACAACATTATTAACATTGGAAAGTCAACTGGACACCGGTACAGAGTGATATACAAATTTGCTTGCCCGACAACAAAAAAAGCACTGGACTCGGACGTCGGGCAATGGGTTATTTCCACCCCTGTGTACCCATGTAGGGTCTACAGCAGGATGAACTAATGCTCTGACCACAAGGCTACCCCACTGCTCCTCTGTCTTTAAGGGAGTCACATGTAATAAGGTGTCATTTCTCAAAAATCATGAGAATCAGTTAGTTTACTGTTGCGTTAAATCCAACATTAAAATTAACCTGGGTGTTTTCAACACATATTGCATTAGATATGCACAGTAACAAAACTGAACACACAGGCCATCCATCGAAGGTACACACAGTTGGAAGGTTCACATGGTTTTCATTTGAGATTGATAGTAAACTTTTCAATTTCTGAATAACAAGGGATATATCAATCAATCAATCAATTCAATCAATCAATCAAAATGTGCATTATCATTAATATTGTGATCACATTCTGAATGTGTCTCCATCTTGCTTGTGCAAAAGTACATTTAACAGCAAGGGGGGAGGGGGGCTGCATCATATAGGATTTAATATGAAAACGGCACAACTAGCATGTAAAGTATTATGTATGCTGGAACTTCTTTTAGATTCAACATGTTAACCATGACAATGGCACTCTTACAATATCTAGGATAATTAATACCAGATAAAACACATAACCCTGATCATGCTGAAAGTAAATTCTTTCTCCTTGAACATGCTGAAGACGAACTTATGCAAGCTTCCAACAAAGTGAGATGAATTGGTGTTTATTGTCATATTCAAGATTATTGCACTTCCACATCTATAGGTTTGCTCATGTGTGTGGCTGCTTGTCCTAGTCCAGATCCAGGGCCTAGATTTTCGAAGCTCTCTTAGCGCTAAGATATATGGCACTTACGACTGACAATCTTAGCACTAAGAGAGCTTAAAAAATCTAGGCCCAGATTAGAATTGGTCTTCAGCAACACATATTTGTTGTAAAAGGCGACTAATAGGGGTCAGTTGGTCAGGCTCACTGAGTTGGTTAACTGTGTAGATCAATGCTCATGATGTTTTGATCACTCGATTGTCTGGTCCAGATTCAATTTTCTTTTTTTTAAAAGACGGCGAAACATTTTGCTATTCCAACAGTATGTACTCCCCAATGTTGGGGGCAACCATATGTGACCTGTGCTCACTTACTCTTGTTTTTCATAAAAACTGAATTTAGAAAGTGTTGATGCTTCAGTTATCAAAATGTTAAACTGGTTTCCCCTCTTTTCTTTCAAAACTGGTGCCTGATATTACATAAATATGTGATTTTATGAAAAATATGCAAGTGCATTTTTAAAAAAATGTAAGAAAAAATAAAGATAAACCCTACCTACTGACCCTGTTTTATAATTTCATGTTACCCTAAACACACATATTTTGGGGGGGCCTTATCACATCCTATGTGTGTATTTGTCTGTTGTACATTTTTTACAGGCTCTATACAAAAATACACACAATCCTTTTTCATATAAGTGATTTCTAACCAGGCTAATGTCTAAATGAGCTGCCATTTCAACCTTAAAACTGTAATTTTAACCATAACCCTTGCATTTTGAACCAGAATACCTGTGAAAAACTAGAATTCTGGAACCATGGAAACATGGTGTAAAAGTTATCGTGTGACACCAACAGAGTCATTTTAACCTCCTACTGCTATGAATGAAGTCATTATGTGGAAAGAAACAGTGTGTAGACATATAGGTTATCACGCAAGTGTGTTTTGGGATGGGTAATATCCTGCATTAGGAATAATCATTGTATTTAGCGAGCCTTAGCGAGCTATATTACATAGTGTTTATTCTAAATGCAGGATATTAACCATCCTAAAACACACGAGTGTGATAACCTATTTATCATGCAATGTCTTCTTAGGCCCAACAAAAAAATATGTCCGTTTCCGGTAACCCGACCAACCCTATCCTAACCCACCCGACCCTAAATCTTTTTTAACCAAGTCAAAATCATGACTGGAGTGCATTTCAACTCATCATTTTCATCCAAATCGAGTATGATATTTTCATGTTTTTCAAATCATGGAATTAAACTTCATACAAAGGCGAGTTCATGTAGTCAGTAGCAAGTGTGTCAACCTTGTGCACTTAGGCAGATCTGGAACTTTTGCTTCAGTAGGGCCCTAAACCCCAATAGAAGTTCTGGGGAAGATCATCCCATATCCAAACGAGGATTTGGCAGATTTCCTGTTGGAGAGTTCAGCTGGAATAAGCCACACTATTGTCGTACGGGTGACAAATCAGGGGATCCTGTAATCCATGGTAACACATTAACGCTGTTCTGCTGAAGACACTGCTTTACAACTAGTGTTGAAACGTCACTCCTGGACCGTTTTGTTTGGCCTAGGAACGTGGTTCAAATCCATGTGTCTTGATGTTCGGTTGTTACTGGTGGGTGGGCACTACATGGTTAGTCCTCAACTTGATTATTTTGCTGAATGTCACCATGTGCAAAACACAGTTTCTATGGATGTGGAATCAAGTAGAAACATCTAATATCGCAAGGTACCAGACTAGCATATCAACAGCTCTCCATATGTCATGTTTCTCATGGCATGGCATGTTCCAACTTGTTCCATGTTGCTAGGTAGAGCTGTTAAACTCACTTCTGCACATCTTCAGTCTGCACTGAGTGGAAACGATAAGCATCTGGGCCTAGATTTTCGAAGCTCTCTTAGTGTTAAGATGGCCGTAAGTGCCATACATTAACATTAACTTACGTACGACTATCTTAGCTCTAAGAGAGCTTCGAAAATCTACGCCCTGGTTGTCTGGTCTTTCCTAAGGAACATTACTGGCCATTTTTCTTGAGTCGCAACTAAGTCATGCTTCTTTCAAATTTGGTGCAATTCAAACAAATGCTTTGTTTGACCATGTTATCTCATGCCATCTCTGGTTCAAATCCAAAAATTCATTCACAAGATTACCTACGAATAAATTCCATGTCACAATAACTTTTCCCTCTGAGTATATAAACTTCTACGTTCTAAAAGTGTTGTTGCTCGAACCATGTTCATACCACAGACAGGTGTACATGCCAACTTTCACCAGCAGGCCATTTAGATAGAAAATCTTGGCACAGGAAATATATAAATCTACAATAATTGTAAGAACAGCACTTAAGGATCTGGGCCCCGTTCCTCAAAGCGATCGTAGCGCTACGACAGTCATAAGTCTATGTTACAGTATGGGAGTTACGATCACCTTAGCACTACTATCACTTGAGGAACGGGGCCCTGATGTGGCATAATAAGCAGGTCAAGAGATTGTTTCACATTTCAGCATGTTCAGGTATTCATCAACCAAAAAATAAAAAAGAATATGATGATAAAAGCTGCTTTAGAAAAAAAAAATTAAGGTGCTTCTGATATTAATTGCATATATATATCATTACAAGGGTGACATGGCATTAAGGCACCCATACCTTTACAAACTGCTAACAAGGTCATAAATTGTCCAAACACATAAATGTCACTATTTTTCCCTTTATGAATTTCACCCTGTGGGTTAGACTTGCAAAAATCTGCAAGGAAATTATTACTAGTTAAAAACATGATTCCACATCTATTTAAGTAATATGTACA